AGAAATTAAGTGAAACTATAAAAATATATGCAAAAGATATCAAGAAATTAATTAAATGAATAAATAGTAATAATAAGTGAAAAAGTTTGACAGCTTCTAAAAGAACTACAATAAGATGTTATTTACTAAGCCTGCCTATTTTTCATGTCTCAAAAGAAAATAACATTAGAAGGAACTATTTCAATTGCCAAACAATTCAAAGGAAATGTCCAGACTTATTTTGAAATTTAATGGGATATACCACTACAACTTCTATGAGCATGTAAAGCCTGTACCCATGTGAAGCAAAAATGTAAGTGAAGATGCAATAGAATGAATAGTTTAGAAAGTCTTTACATCTATTGCTGAAACATCAAGAAAATTATCAAAAAAGGAGAAAAACTAACTAATATTTTTGATAATAAGCTAAACTTTAGTAACAATGAGGATACTAAAGTAATACAACAGAAATCATAATAATAATAATTCACTTCACTGCTATCACAGGTGAAATACAAAAGATATGCTGTACTGAAAAGGAATTCTGATTTTAGCTGATTTGTAATATAGGATACAATAGGATAGTTGATTGTCACTGATTTTTAGCTAATCTATAGTATAGAAATTACCATTCAGTACAGTGATTCTTTTGTATTTGACCAGTATACATTTGCAGATAAACAGAATATACGGTCTGGAATTGTTCCATAAGACAAGGAAACCACAATTAAGGAAATCAAATTGCTTCTTCTGGTACATGACCTAATAGTACTGTGTATCTCTAGACTAATACTACAGTTAATCAAACTGTACCACCAGTTCTACAAGGAAACATAAACAGTAATACATTTATAACTCAACAACTACTACTACCATCTGGAAAGATGCATAGCATTTAAACTAGCCAGCACACCTTTAGAGAGTAAAAGTGCAAATAATTGTAAATTTCTAATATAAGATTAGAGATAATGACAAAACAATGCAAGAAAGTATTGGGTCCACAAGCAAACAAAATATGTCACAACCTATCACAAAAAAATTACAATTTGCAAAAAAGAAAAGGAAACATTGAAAGACCTTAAATAAATGAAAAGAATAAAAATAACTCCTATTCAGTAACCATTTATGACATAAAATGCTTTACTATATTCTATCATTTCTGATCTACTTGCAACAAAAGTTAACATTACTTTGGAATGACTAATGACTATGTCACACTATAGAAATGAAACAAGAAAAGCTTTTGACACCAAAGTGAATGAGAGTTGTAAAGATGGTTAACTAAATAACAGTAAGTAGCAATACATCTATGGTTTGTAAAGCTCAAGTAGTCAGATGGAAGGCTGAAGTGATACTTGATAGAAGTTTATCTATTAATATTATTTCAAAGAACTTTACAGAATTTGTAGGATGAAGAATTAAAAAGAAAACTATGAGAAAACAATAGTCAAATACAAAAGAATCACTGTACCAAATGGTAATTCTTATACTATAGATCAGCTAAAAATCAGTAAAAATCAACTATAAATCAGCTAAAATCAGAATTCCATTTTGGTATGGCATATCTTTTATATTTGACCTAGTGAAAAATGTCCTAGTTTAGAAATCTTGATACAAGTGTCTATAAAACTAGAAGAAATTGTAATGGCTATTGATATGGAAGTTATTGATGTGACAGGTTACATATTAATTCTTGGAACAGATTGGTTAAGAAAAGCTAAAGATTACCAAGAACATACATTAATTTTGAAAAATGATGAATGATCAGTTCAATTCCTTACAGAAATACTAAACTACTGAATTAAATAACAATAATAGAAATGAAGAAAGTTAAGAAGAATACAAAGAAAGTAGTGACAATTCCGATACAGATGACAATGATAAAGGATTATCTTATGAACTACCTCAACAAGAAACATACAAAAAGTATCAGAATACTTCTGAAGGAATGCAAAAAGATTCCAAGCTTCTTACATGGGAAATGTACAACTTTTTGTCTTATTGTTTTGATCCAGTTAAAAGAAAGAAAGGAATTCACAAATGACATAAATCAACGGGACCAAACTTGTATTATTGGTGATCAATATCACAAAGCAAGTGAAGATATATGTGAAATTTGTGAAGAATGCCAATATAATCATAAAGCTATTTTCGTCATATCCTGAAATAAAATAAAAGATATTAGGTGTAACCTAGTAAATTATTCAGAATAAAATGATGCCATAGATCTATAATTTCGATCACCTGACCATCATGTGTCGATTATTTAATCATGTGTTTTATTTTTATTGGTTGAGAATGGGTGTTGAAAATATTAATAGTCAACGGAATTTAACAAATTAATATTAATTATGATAAGCTGTAAGTCGAAAAATGTAATGTTATGTTAAAAAGTATATCGTAATTTTCCGAACTTAAACATGACATGAAAAAAGTACTCAGGATAGTTTTCGAATTTTATTTATTAGCACTAATAACAAATTGCGAATATTTATAATTTAAGTAATAAAGTGACCGAATTAATTTAAGGGCATTAAATAGTTTTTAAAGAAAATAATTGCAACAAAAGAGTAATTGACAGTTTTCAAAGTAATCTAAGTAATGAAAGATTTACTTTAATAGCAAATAAGGAAATCAATTCATTACGGAATTCTCGTCGCACTAGGCAGAATAGCTTATTTGGTGTGACACAAAGAACATTAAAAATTGGTGTAATGCATTACAAACTTTATATTTGGAAGAAAGTTTGTGTGACTCAAAGAACATTAAAAAATCGGTGCAGTGTAATCTACTAATTTCGGATGATCAACCATGTTCCAAGAAAAGGAAAACGAAAAAGAATGGAAGACCTGGATGGATAATATAATCATTGAAGATACTTTTCAAAAAGGAAATATCTCATTTTATCAATATTCCGAATTTGAGAACGTGAAATCGATTAGTAAAAATGTTTACAAAGCCATTTTTAAAGCTTCTCGAAAAACTGTTGCTCTTAAAAATCTTTATTTAAATGATAATAATAAATTAATAAATGAAGTACATTAAATTAAATTTTTTATTCATTCTATTATTAAAATTTAAATTTACCGTTAATTATTATTAATATTTTTACTAATAAGATTAAAAGACATCAAAAATTGGAAATTCATGATGGTATTCTTAAATTCTATGGTATCACTAAACAAGGTAAAAATATTTAAATATCATACTTCATACATTGCCAAATAATTGCTTATTTCATTTATTTGTTTAAAATTATTTTTATTTTTATAGAGAATAATCATATGATTATCATCGAATATGTTAATGAAGGATCTCTTCGTCAATATTTGAAAACTAATTTCCAAAAATTGGATTGGAATGCAAAATTAGATCTCGCAAAACAAATTGCAAATGTTTTGATGCATTTACATTCTAATAATATCATTCATGGAAGATTGGTAATTATTTTCTTATTTAAAAAGAATTTTCTCAAATGAATAGCTTTTAATTTTTTATATGAATATTTTTTTATAATTATTTAATTAGAGCTCAAAAAATATTCTTATTCATAATGGGATCATTAAATTAAATATTTTTGGATTGACTAAAATTATTTCCAATTCTCCAAGTTACCTTACGATTAGCGAAAATAAGGGCTCTGATATTTTTGGTCTAGGGATTATTCTTTGGGAGATATCTGGTGGTATTCCTCCTTTTGAAATGAAATCCTTGTCAAATGTCGATTTATTGAATAATATTGTAAAAGGAAAAAGAGAAATGACTATACCCGGAACACCTCATAAATACAAGGAAATATATACTGGTATGAATGAAATAATTTATTAAAATCATTTGTATTGTTTACATAATAAATTATTAATTTAATAGTGTTAAATTTTTGAAAGATTGCTGGAAACAGAATGGAAACTCACGACCGGATATTTTTCAAGTTGTTAAAAATCTTTCTGAAATCATTATCTCTGATGCAAGCATTGAATTTGAAACACCTCAAACAGACGTTAAATTGGAAAATTTAGATATGTAAGTTGCATTTTTAATTTTTTTTTTTATATGTATTCAAATGTTCAGAATTATATTAAATATAAAATTCATATCTTTATTAAGACAATATGAAGAACCTGAAATTAGGCCTGATTCTCCTTTTTTTGATGTCACGACTGAAGTTAATGTGTTTATTAAGGATTTGCTTGAACTTCTCATTGATTTATTCAATAGACAGTTTCGAGAGATTCGACCAATTATGATCAAAAATTATATTAGAGAACACAAAAAGAATCCAGTTGAAATTCTTTATAAAATGATTAGTCATCCAACTTATTTTTGGTTTACTAGTTTAATAGGATTTTTTTACCAGCATGGCATTGGGACTGTTGCTGATAATCAAATGGCTTTTAAATTCTTTAGCTTGGCAGTCAATCAAATAATTGATAACTCCTTTTCTAATTCCTCACCTTTAAGGAAACTATACAATAAAAACAAAGAAGCTAGTACCATCTCTCTCGCAAACATGTATCTCGAAGGTCTGGGTGTTGAAAGGAATACAAAAAAAGCTTTTCAGATTTATTATAAACTTGCTGATAAAGGATCTCGTGCAGCTTTGAATACCGTAGCATATTGTTATAATAATGGTTTTGGTGTTGAAAAAAATGAAAAAAAGGCAATTAAATTATATTTAAAATCTGCTGAAAAGGGAAATTATATTGCACAATTTAATGTTGGCGTCTGTTATATAGATGGTATAGGAATAACAAAAGATGAAGTTAAAGGGTTTCGATGGGTTTTAAAATCTGCCCTTTCTGGAAATATTAATGCAATGGTCAATGTCGGTTATAGTTATGACAATGGCATAGGCGTGAGTAAAGATGAAAAAGAAGCATTTAAATGGTATATGAAGGCTGCTGAAAAAGGATTTTCTATGGCACATTATAATTTAGGATGGAGTTATAAAGATGGCGAAGGAACCGACAGGGATTCTAAGAAAGCATTTGAATCGTTTAAAAAAGCTGTAGAAAATGAAGAACATGATTATTTCGATGCTCAATACATGCTTGGAAAATCCTTTTATGAAGGATACGGGACTAAGAAAAATATTTTAAATGCTATCTACTGGCTAAATAAAGCAAAAGAAAGTAAGAATACAGATGCTAAGGAATTATTAGAAGAAATAATCAATTACATGTAGTCAAAAATAAAAAAAGTTATTTCTATTACTGTATAATATTTTTTTTCATTAATAAAATATATTCTTTTTTTTGCTAAAAGTACTTTTGAAATGCATTTGCAATCAATATAATTACTGAATAGGTGTTATAATATATCAAAAATAAATTTATTTTTTTAAATAATCGTCGTAAAGAATTTAAAAGTGAAAATAAAAGTAATTAAATAAGAATAATGTCAGCGGAATTTAGCAATTAATATAAATTAATTATGTTTAAAAATGATATTGTACATTTTCGGACTTAAACTCGAAATTTAAAGTACTCGGGTATTTTATTAATTAGCACTAATAAACAAATTGCAAATATTTAGCAATAAAATGACAACATTAAATTTTTAAAGAAATAATTGTAACAAAAAAATAAATAAATTTTTGCTTTACAACAGAAAATTTGTGCGCTTTTAAAGTAACACTAGGTTATAAAAGGCTTACTTTAATAGTTAAATAAGGAAAATAATTCATTACGGAATTTTCTTCGCACTAGGCAGGTGATGCGATTTAAAGACCATAAATAGAAAGAAATTTATCAAACGAATTATTTTTAATTTTTATAATTATTTAATTAGTACTCTGAAAATATTCTTATCATAATGTTTCTTTGGAAATAATCTTGGTCCAATACACTATATAGATCCTCAACATTTGGAACTCTGATGTTTTCGTCTAAGAATTATTCTTTGGGAGATTTCTAGTGATAATCCTCCTTTTAAATTAAATCTTCGTCAAATGTTAATTTGTTAGACAATATTGCAAAAATGCAAAGAGAAAAGCCTATACCGGAAACATCCCATAAATAACAAATACAAGGATATGTATATACGCTCGTATAAATTAAATAATTTATTTAAATCATTTGTATCGTTTAAATAATAATCTCTAATGCAAATGCTATAACTTTGACGGAATGGAAACTCGCGACCTGATATTTCTCAACTTGATAATTTGAAATTTTCATCAATATTTGCAAAAAGCAGGTTTTAGATATGCAGCCAATTGAGAACACAAAAAGAATCCAGTTGAAATTCTATGGCTATTTAAACATATTTTGAAATCTGCAGAAAAAAGGCACTATTATATGTCACCAGGAATTTTTTGAGGCGTAATATTGCGACACCTACGATATTTATGAGACCGGACGTTTTGACTTTAAACCGAAATATCTCGGCGAATATCGGATAAAAGACATTTTATTATGTAGCCAGAATTAGGGCTTTTGATCGTTCAAAAAACATATTAATAGAAGATCACTTTCAATTCAAAAAAAAATGGAATTGGCGTAGAAATTACGGAATCTTTGCGCAAAAAAAAAATTTCGTTTTTTGAATTCGAGCATTATTTGTGAGACTCTTGTTCTTGGCTACAAGATAAAATATGTTTCATCCTTGTAGAACCAATATTCGCCGAGAATTCTGGTTTAAAGTCAAAACGGCACAGTATAAATATCATAAATAGACGCAGATGTCGAAATATTACGGATATTGCGCTTAAAAAAATTTCCGGCTGGTGCTATCAAAAGCGAATAGGAATAACAAAGCTCTTACTGGAAACATATATGCAATGTATAATATCGGATGTTGTCATGCGAATACCAAAGGCGTGGGTAAAGATGAAAAAGAAGAATTTAAATGGTTTCCAAAAGCAGCTGAAAAAGAACATAACATAGCGGAGCATAATTTAGGAATTTATTATGCAAATGGGCAGAAAATGATTGTACAGATAGCCAACACATGCTTGGAAATTGTTTTATGAAGCATGTGGAGTTAAGAAAGATATTGTAAAAGTCATCTACTGGTCAAATGAGGCAAATGAAATGAGAATACAGATGCAAATGAATTATTAGAAAACTTTTAAATAAGATATTTTAGTTAAAAAAAAAAAAGATATCAATTAAAATTTTATTTTATTGTAAAGGTGATTATTATTAATTTATTGTTAAAACTTTTTTTGTTTAAAATATTTTCTAATACATTGAATACTTTATTTGCAGTCAATATTACTGTGATTTTATGTTAAAATATATCATTAATATTTCATTATTTTATTTTTGAAGTAACTACGTATAACCGGTTAAAATTAGTAATACCAAAGTGTCAAATGAATTAAATAAATCAGCCAAATCAATTACGTTAAGCTATCAAGTAGAAAATGCAATATTATGTTAGAAGAAGGATATTGTAAATTTTTTCTGGACTTAAACATGAAAAAAAGAACCCGGGTAGTTCTCGTGTTTCATTTATCAGAACCAATAAATAAAAAAAATTTACGAATATTATTAATTTACCAATCTTTTATAAATAAAATGGGTCCTTTTCTGAAAGTGACAACATTATTTTTTTCAAATTCAATTTACTTTTCATGGGCATGTCCATCATGAGATTACCCGAAATTAATTAATGTTAAGCGGGGCCGGATTTAAGTACATGTTATATGTAAAATTGCCTCCTCAACACTTTTTATAATTACACAAAGATAGGTTTAGACACTCGTTTCTTGTATTTTTAGTGTCGATTGATGTGTATAAACAAAAAATTACAATTTTGATTGGCCATATCAAAGTGATAGTTTCATGGTAATACAGTGCAAACTTAAAAAAGAAAGTAATATGAAATTTCCAAACTTTATATTAATTGTTTCACAGGCTTGTGACCTAAAGAATATTATTAATTGGCGTAATTCATTTAATTTTATTTGGTGTGATTCATTATAAATCAGTGCGAGTGCGTCCCAAGTAAAAGCAAACGAAAAAGGAATGAAAATCTGGATGAACAATTTAATTATTGAAGATACTTTTCAAAAAGAAAATATCTCAGTTTATCAATATTCCGAATTTAAGAATGTGAAATTGATTAGTAAAAATGTTTACAAAGCCACTTTTAAAACTTCTCAAAAAACTGTTGCTCTTAAAAATCTTTATTTAAATGTCAATGATAAATTTGCACCGGATAATTTAATAAATGATGTACATATATTAAATTAAATTATTATTTATTCGATTATTAGAATTTAAATTTACCATTAATTATTTGTAATATTTTAAAATGAAAAAAGATTAAAAGACATCGAAAATTGGAAATTCATGCTAATATTCTCAAATTTTATGGTATCACTAAGCAAGGTAAAAATATTTAAATATTAATTTATTATTAATTACTCGCTTATTTATCTTTATTTAATTAAAAATAAAATTTATTTTTATAGAGCATACCAACAATTATATGATTATCCTCGAATATGTTAATGAAGGTTCTCTTCGTCAATATTTGAAAACCAATTTCCAAAAATTAGATTGGAATGTAAAAATAAATCTTGCAAAACAAATTGCAAATGTTTTGATGTTTTTACATTCGAATGATATTATTTATGGGAAATTGGTAATTATTTTCTTATTTAAAAAGAATTTTCTAAAGCGACTTATTTTTAATTTTATTTGCTTATTTTTTTTTATAATTATTTAATTAGAACTCTGAAAATATTCTTATTCATAATGGAATAATCAAATTAAATGCTTTTGGATCAATAAAAATTATTTCCGATTCTTTAAGTTTCCTTACAAATGATCTTGACCAAATACAATACACGGATCTTCGACATTTGGAACTCTTTAGCACGATTGGTAAAAATAAGAGTTCTGATATTTTTGGTCTAGGAATTATTCTTTGGGAAATATCTAGTGGTAATCCTCCTTTTGAAATGAAATCCTCATCAAATGTTGATTTGTTAAAAAATATTGTAAAGGGTAAAAGAGAAATGGCTATACATGGAACACCTTATAAATACAAGGAAATATATTCTGGTATAAACTTTAAATAATATATTAAAATCAGTTATGTTGTTATGCATAAATTATTAATGTAATATTTTGACAGAGTGCTGGAAGCACAATGGAAACTCACGACCAGATATTTCTCAAGTTGTTAAAAATCTTTCTGAAATAATTATCTCTTATGCAAGCGTTGAATTTGTAACACCTCAATCTCAACCTTATGATATAGTAGACGAAATTATTTCTGTAAAATTGGAAAAACTCAATATGTAAGTTGCATTTTTATCATTTATATATATATATTTATTTAAATCTCCAGAAAATTTGTTGAATTTATTAAATCATTAAATTCTTCTTCATTAAGGCAAAATGAAGAACCTGAAATTAAATCCGATCCTCCTTTTTTCGGTGTCACGACTGAAGTTAATATGTTTATTAAAGATTTATTTAATCTTCACATTGATTTGTTCAATAAACAACCTCGAGAGAATCGACCAATTATGATCAAAAATTATATTATAAAGCATAAAAAGAATCCGGTTAAAATTCTTTATGAAATGCTTCATCATCTATCTTATTATTCTTTATTTACTAGTTTAATAGGATTTTTTTACCAACATGGTATTGGAACTGTTACTGATAATAAGATGGCTTTTAAATTCTTTAGTTTAGCAGCCAATCAAATAATTGATACCTCCACTTCTAATTCCTCAACTTTAAGGAAACTATACAATATCAACAAAGAAATTGGAATCTTCTCTATTGCATTTATGTATAGAACAGGTTTAGGCGTTGAAATCGATATGAAAAAAGCTTTTCATATTTATTATAAACTTGCGGATGAAGGGTCGAATATAGCTTTGAATACCATAGCATATTCTTATGAGAATGGGTTTGGCGTTGAAAAAAATGAAGAAAAGGCATTTTTATTATATTTAAAATCTGCTGAAAAAGGATTTCTCGTTGCACAATCTAATGTTGGATTGTGTTATGAAAACGGAACAGGAATAACAAAAGATGAAGCTAAAGGGTTTCAATGGGTTATAAAATCAGCTCTTGCTGGAAATGTTCATGCAATGTGTAATGCCGGGTATTGTTATGACATTGGTAGAGCCGTGTGTATAGATGAAAAAGAAGCATTTAAATGGTATCTGAAGGCTGCTGAAAATGGATCTAATACTGCTCAGTATAATTTAGGATGTTGTTATAAAAATGGTGAAGGAATTAATAGAGATTATAAGAAAGCATTTGAATGGTTTAAAAAAGCTGCAAAAAATAATTATGTTATTAGCCAATACATGCTTGGAAATTCCTTTTATGAAGGATTTGGAACTAAGAGAAATATTGTAAATGCTATCTTCTGGTTAAATAAAGCAAAAGAAAATGGAAATACTGATGCCAATGAATTGCTAGAAGCAATAATCAGTAATATTATGTAATAGTAAAAAAATTGTTCAATTTTTTATTTCATTCACTGTAAAGATGATTATATTTTCGAATATATTTTTAATTCATCAAAATGATTTTCATATATTTTCTTAAAAACATTTGTTGAATTCCATTGCTTTAATTTGTATTCAATAGATAATTTTATTTTATAAACTTTTACAATGAATTGAAATATATATTAAATAAATTATATTACTGTAAAAAATTTAATAAAATATACATTGCAATCTAGATCAAGAGATTAATAATAATATCTTATTGCAATTTTAAATTCAAGTTTTGGAGGATAATATTTCAAGGTAAGTAAGTAGGGTAGCGATGGAGGGTGAAGGACAGGTAGAAATAAAAAGTATGGGAAAATAATTTGTTCTCCGCGATATGCGCGAGAGATGAAATTATAATATTTAATGTTATTATATTCTAACTATTAATCAATAGTTTTTCATTTTGTTTGCATTGGTAAATTTTTAATTTTAACTATAATTGTTTAAATACATTTAACTAATTTATCTAATTATTAAAAAATTTATATCTGGTTTAATAAATACAATAAAGATTGTTAATAATTAATCTCGTGATAATTTTAGATAAATTTTATGTGCTCAAAGAACACTATAAATCGGCGTAATTTTATTAATCAATCATGTCTAAGAAATGTAAAACGAAAAAGAATTGGAGACCTGGATGGATAATTTTTTTATTGAAGATAATTTTCAAAAAGAGAATATCCCATTTTATCAATATACGTGAAATTGATTAGTAATACTTATAATGGTGAATGTCTTCAATGGATGGGTACAAAAATGGATTTATTTTATGATACTGTTCAAAATTCTATGCAATTTGTAATGTACGCAAAAGTCATTTCTGAGATTTTTATTTATATAATAAAAAATCCGATTTCACTTTAGATAATAGAAGTAACTGTGATATTAAAAATAGTTATTATACAATAAAAGCCTCATAATTCGATCGCTTTTCTATTGTTAATTATGATATATTTAAAGTTGTCAGACAATCTTAATTAATTTGTTTTTGTATTTATTATATTAAACTTGTATTCATTTTTCTATGTTTTATATTTTTCATTAAATTTAAAAATAACTTAACAGTTTGGAAAGTTCTTTCATGTATAAAAGGTTAAATTTCTGGTTGTTGTTTTTTTCGTTTGACATTATCTCTCTATCTATGTAGTTTGACAATAATTTATAAATAATTTGTGAAAAAATTTTTTATCGCTACACTTTAAAAGTATAATAAATATCTTTTATTTTTATTTTTCTTCAAGGTAAAAGATTAACAGAATAAAAATTCTTTTCAATGAACATTTTTGAAATAGAAAAAAAAACGAAAAGAAATGAATAATTTAATCATCATAACAATAAATCAAAATCCATAACACTCTAAAGGTAATAATCATAAATGCGCCAATACAAGTTTTTTTTTCGCAAATTTCAATAAAAACAAAAATACATTAATAGTTATGAAAAAAAACAAAATAAAAAAAAAAATAATAATATATAAATGTTTTAAGAAATAAAAATAATGAACATTCATTCCTTCGTTTCACATTTACTTTTAATATAAAGCGAAAAACTCACATTCTTCTATTTGAACTAATCGGACGTTGATTACCATGTTGTTTAAGATATAATCCACATTTGTTACATAATTTACCACCTTCCGGACCTCTCCAACAAGGCGTATCGGTGGTATTACAATTTGAACATTTGGGTTGACCATTTCCGGGTCTTTCTATTTTTACTAATCTTATTTCACCATCAGGTCCTAATTCGGTTGGTCTTTGACAATTTTTTACTTTTAAACTATTATAATAATAAATTAATTAATATGAGTGAAGGAACATATGAGGAGTGTATGTAAGAGTAGTAGTGTATTAGGATGAAAAAAAAAAAAAAAAGATAAAATATGAATTCAAAAAAAAAAAAAATTATCAAATCGAATTTTAAAAAAATAAACGATAATAAAAAAAAAATATTATATAAACTTACTATAAACCACAAGCATTACAAAGTAAAGCTTCGCCTTGAAGATCTCTTCTCCAAGCGGGGGTTTCTCGAGTTCCACAATTTGAACAACGGTAAATATCACCATTTTTCGAATGACCATTATTATTATTGTTATCATTAGTAATAGGAGATCGAATGGTTGCTTTAGTTTTTCTTCTACGTCGTCTTTTCTTGGTATTTGTAGTATTAACATAATCGTTTATTACCATTAAATTGTTGATTTTTTTGTTATTTTTGTTGTTGATTTCGAATTTGTTTTTGGAAGAGAAGGTATTAGAATTAATAGAAGGAGAAGGGGAAGGAGAAGAAATAGCCTGAATACATTGATCACATTCTAATAATTTATTTGTTAAGCTATTCCCTCCATAACCACCACTTTCAACACAATTATTATTATTGTTATTATTATTATTCTCCCAATCATCATTAGTTCTAATTAAATTATTATCATTGTTATTTTCATTTTTATCGCCAGGAATTATAATATCACCGTTATTATTATTATTATAATCATTGTTGTTATTATTATAGGACGAAGAAGAAGGAACAGAATTATGAATAATATGTACATTATGAATATTGTGAATATTGTGACTATTAAAATTTCGAGGAACATTATGAATATCATGGTGATGACCATTTGACATACTTGAAGCATTTGGAATACTTAAATTATTTGAAATATTTGAAATATTTGGAAAACTTTGTTGTACTGGTTGAGATTGATGTGAAGATAAAGATGAATGAAATGAAGGTAGTGGTAGTGATGAAGAATAAATAGTTGTTGCAGCAGCAGTGGGTGGAATGAAAGGAGAATATTGTTGATAAAATCCATTATTTGCAGTCATAGTCCAATAATATTGAATTGGATGATAATGTTGAGGTCTTTGTGGTTGCTGTTGTTGGTATTGAGTATGAATAGATGATTGTGTTGTTGTTGTTGATGATAAAGTACTATTATAATTATTTGTATTAAAATTTCCAATATTTCCTCCATTTCCATCTCCACTCGAAGTAAAATGTGAGTGGTCTATAATTTGTTGCTGTTGTTGGCAATGAATACACATGAGATTAACGCATGGTGATGCAGTAGTATTAATATTAGCAGGAAGAAGATAAGAAAGGGAGGAAGGAGGAGGAGGATCAAGTTCAATTTTTGAATGTAAAGATGATGATACGGTATTTGATTGTATATTAAATTGTTGTTGTTTATTATATCGTTGTTGTTGTTGATTAAATTGTTGTTGTTGGTGATAATAATCATCTCTTCTCATAGTATTACTTTTTTGTAGTTGTTGAATTGATTGTGAATTAATTGATCGTTGATGGTGATGTGAAGAAGAAGTTTGAGTAGGAATAAGGGAAGAAGGAGGAGAATTAGGATTATTCAAAGCTTGTACTCTCATTAAATTTGAAGAATCGATTACTTTTAAAGGTTGTGGAGATGATATTTCTTTGTTAAAACTAGAAACAACATCTTCGCGCTTATTATTAATATATTCATCCTCTTCTCCTGTTTTATTGTAGTTGCAGTATTTATTATCATTAGAAGGTGATAAAGGTTCAATAGGTGATGAGTCAAACCAAAGTTCTGGTGATTGGGCAGGTGAAGTTTGAATGATATTGCAAATATTGTGAAGCGATGAATTATTGTTATTGTTATAGTTGTTATTATGGTTGTTGTTATTATTGTAATTGTGGCTGTTATTAGAATTGGTTAACGGATCATTCATAATATTTAATTCATCAATTCGGGAAGAAGAAGTTCTGGTATTGATTGAATTATTATTATTTCTTTCATATTTAATAGTATCAATTATATTATTGGAAGAAAGAGGAATAGGAATGGGAGATGGTGGAGTAAGGGAAGGTGAATTAAAAACTGAAGAATTAATTGAATTAATTGAACCATCTGATATATTTGAATCAATTGAATTAAATGTAGTGGATGAATTAAGAGAATTAAGAGATATTGGGGAAGGAAGAGTTATTGAAGGTGAAGAAATTAAAGGAGGAGTAAGAGAGTGATGTTGATGAAGATTAGTAAAAGTAGTATAAGAGAATTCTTTTTGTTCCTGTCGTAGTGGTTGCCGCAGCAGTTGTACTGGCATCGTAATGACGTCTTCTCTGTCAGCAGAAACAACAGTGGAAGACATGATAACAAAGAATGTATTTAATTACGCTTTCTGCTGCTGCTTGAAAGTATTGTTGTAGATGAAATTATTGTTATGGTGGATTAGTAAAATAAATATAATAATAAGTAAAACTGGTACATCTTTTATTCAAAAACAAAAATTAAGAAATAAATTAATAATAAAAATTATAATAAAATAATAATTACAAATAATAATAAAAAATAAAAATAAAAAATAAATAAAAATGAACAATTAATAAATAATAAATAAAAATAAAGAGAATTTTTATCAAATAAAGATAGTGTTTTTGATAATAATCATTTTTACGAATTTTTGTTCTATCAAATTATTATTTTTTATTTTTTATTGATGTTGATTGATGATGATGATTCTTTAATGATACTTTTAGGTGATTAAAAAAAAAAGAGTGAAAAAAAAAATTACTTGATACTTGCTTTGTACCCGCGACGTTTTTTGATGTTTTTTTATTATCTAATAATCAAAGAAAAAAAACGTTTTGTATCAAGAATAAAAAAAAAAAATCTTAATTGATGATTTGATTTGATTTAATTGTTTTATAATTATTACTACAATACAAAAGCAAAGAATCTATTAAATTAAAAACAAATGAGTCATGGACTTATATTTATACTTAAATTTCTTTTTTATCAAACTACATCATAACGAAATATTTTATATAATATATGAAATTATTATTTATTTTTTTAAATCGATACAAGTATAATCAATATTAATGATTGATGATATATAGATTATAAATCATTCTTCTGAGTTTTAATAAATTATAAGATTAGTGAGTAATTATTATTATTGTTGTTGTTGTTGTTGTTATTATTATAAATTATTTTTAGATTTTCGTAATTCATCAATATATATATATTTAAACTCACATACAAAAGAATGAACTTAAATAATTAAATAAAATAATTAAAATCAAGAAAGAATAAAATTAACAATATAAAATAAATAAATAAAAATTAACATTTAAAGAATTATATGACAAAAACGATCTCTTGGTGTCTCTTTAACTTTGACTCCAATTACTAACTCGATATCACCTATTCCTTTATTCCCTCACTCTAACTCACCCAAGTTATTATTATTCATATTTTGAGCAATAAATTAACTAATTAAATTTTTTTTTTTTGAAGAAATATCGGACAAATTTTATTTTTTTTTATTTGATCTGATCGTTTAGGATGAGATGAAAAAAAAATTAATTTTAAATTCATAATGTAATATAATTTTAAATGTGGTTATTAATTATTAATTATTAAAAAGTTGCGTGTTCACTCTCTAAATATATGAATGAAAAAAAAAATTTTTATTTATAAACGTGATCATCGTGTGCTGTTGTTGATGCCGACCAGAAAAGTATTCTATTAATATATAATAAATTTATATGACAATTTGATTTAATCTTCTTAATGTTAATACTTATATTTAATATCAGAAATTAATTGTAAATTTCATTAAATTATAAATAATTACCATTTCAATCATACTAAAAATATTACATTTAAAGATTAAACTAAATAATATAAAAGATCATTAGTCATCAACTTTAATCAACATTAATAATTAATATATCAAAGGGTGGAGTTCAGAATATAAAAAAAAAAACTAAAAAAATAAAAGAAAAAAGCAGGGGTGATAAAATAAAAACAATAAAATAGCAATAAAAAATAATAAAATTGAAATAAAAAAAATATAATAGAAATAAAAATAATAAAATTGAAATAAAAAAAAAAAAAATAGAAATTAAAATATAAATAAAATATAAATAAAAATAATAAAATAGAATAAAAAATAATAATAAAATAGAAATAAAAAAATAACAAAATTAAATAAAAATAAAAATAAAAAGGAAAAACTATACGTAAAATTCCCTATTATTTATTAGATTATCTGTTGATTGATTTTGATTAACGATTAACGATTAACGGATAATGACGATGATAATTATTAATTATCAATAATAATAATAATAATGATAATAATAATAATACAAATTGTGCAAAATGTAATGTATAAGAGCGTGGGGGTAGAGTGTGCGTGGGTTAAAAAGGAAAAGAAAAAAAGGAGTAAATATAAAGGAACGATAATCAATTATTAAAATTAATATCGAATATTAAATATTATAATCATCGCATCATTCATCATATCATCACATCACATCAATTATCTCAATTAAATTATTTATCAAAATAATAATTAAAGGAAAAAAGTAATAAAAATAATTGAATGTAATGAACGTATTCTATTATTTAAGTATTTAAAAATAAAGTTTTTAATGTATGTAAGGGATTCTTTATTTTATTAGAGAAAGACAATATTATTATTAATTAACAATATCATATTTAAAAAAATATCAATAAAAGTTGTATTGTGAAATAAATTATAATAAAGTAAATAATGTTTATAATGTTACTTTTCAAGGAGAAGAAAATTGTTATATACTGTATATATATATTTTTTTTTTGTTCGAAACATCGAGACAATGATTTTCGTTAACCTCCCTCTCTTTAACTCCTCCCCCTCATATAAAATCAACATCAGATGACCTCATAATATATACAAATTTTTCAGTCATAATTTAAAATGATGTAATTTACAAAAAAGTGATTTTAATGAAATTTTAAATTAGCCGAATCATCATAAGTAAGAAATGAAAAAATTTAACAAATGAATTTTTTTTAACAATTAATCAACATGTTTCGTTTTTAATATTCACGAATTTAAATAATTAAAAATAAATATGTTAATAAATTAAACTATTTCTCTTTATAATTTTAAATTTTATTTTATTTTTTTTTATTTGATTGATTTTAATAATATATAGAAAAACTAATAGCAAATCTTGAAGTTTTTTTACACGACTAAGAATAGAATTTTTGACATTTGTTTCAGAATTCTAGCCAATAGGATTGTAATCATTAAGTCTCGTCAGTATCTTTAATTTTCGCAACATTTGTCTGCCGATCAGGTTTCAATTCCATCCATCCCTATTTCCAAGAAGTATAAGATTAAATTCATATCGATGATTATTAATTTTATATGCTTCTTCTTTCTTATAAATCTAAGAGGGAATTTAAACTAATTGTTCTTTTGTAATAATTGACGACATCAGTAAATTTTTTTAGGCGTAATATTACGTAATATTATACCATTTACAAAAAATCCGTTTTTGACTTCGCTCGCGATTTTCGTAACAGTGAGCGGTTTTCTACTAAAGTATTTCTAAAGTGAATCGAAAGCCCTAGTTCCTGGCTACATTTCAATATATGTTCGTTCCTGTAGCTTCGATATTCATCGAGATATTTACGTTTAAACTCGAACGTCCATGAAAATTTTTGCAAAAAAAGTTTTATATAATATTTCGTAATATATACGACGGAGATTTTCGAAAATTTCCATAAATTTTTTACGAAATTTTTCACGGACGTCCAACTTTAAGCGTAAATATCTCGTTAAATATGGATGCTATAGAAATGAAACGCATATCAACATGTAGCCAGGAACTAGGACTTTTGATCCATCTCAGAAGTACCTTAGTAAAAAATTCACTCCCTGTCACGTAAATCGCGAGCGAATTCAAAAAATAGATTTTTTTTAGACGTAAATTTCCGAAATATTTACAACGTGTAAAATCGGAGAGATAATAAATTTGTTTGGAGTTATAGAATATTTATAATGTCAACCTATAAAATTTTACCCAATAATTAAACGTTAAAGGTAAAGTTTTATTTTGAGAATCCCATATTTTAGGATCCTCAAGTCGAAACTTGAATCTCAAATTTTTGTAAAAAATTTAATATCATCCAAGGATAAGTAAGTTTGAATTCTTGCAGCCATCAAAAGAATTTTTCAAATTTTTTAAGATTGACCGTAACTCCGTAAGTAAGTCTAAATAATTATTTTTATAGTTGATAACAATTTATTAATACGGCTCTAACTTTATGGTGATATTAAAATCTAAGCAAATTTGTGTCTAATATTATCTTTATTATCAGTTGACTTTGTAGAAATAAGAACATCGATAATACGAGTTTACGGTTCTCCAATAACATCGATTGAATTTCCAATGCATACTTAAACATTTTTCATTTTAACCATTTTAAGGTTTTTTTAAGTTTCAAATGAAAACATGTATTTGTCGTACAGACAAAGCACAAATGTTAAATTGGTTTTTATTTTGTTGACGCTCTTTCTTCTTTTCCGACTCGCAATTATTTAGAAAAAAAAAATTGTCTTTCAAATTTTTTGAAAAGTTATCTCAAAATTTTATCGAATTATGAAACGATAAAGGTGATTACAATGTAACCATAATAGTTGAAAATGAGAATAAATCTTTCAAGGCACATTCTAATATATTGAAGTTTCGCTCACCATTCTTTCGTAAAGAGTTGGAAAATATTCGGCCAAATGAAAATAATATTACGACCATTATTAAGTCAAGTACAGTATATCTGCTCAAATTTTCGATATAATTCTCAAGTAAGTTTCAATCAATAAATTATTTTTATAAATATATTTTTAATTTATTACTCTTTTTATTTAGATATGTTTATGAAGGAATTGTTAATTTGGAGAACGTAGAAACCAGATTCATTTTTGACTTAATGTTAGTTGTTAATGAATTTGAACTTAAAAAATTAACCAATAATTTAGAAACTCATCTCATTAATAATAAAGCTTCTTGGTCAAAAACATATTTTTCTTTTATTTATCATGCTATTTTTAATGAAAACTACTTTAAAAATTTAGAAAATTATTGTAATGGTATTATTGTAAAGCATCCAATTATAATTTTTAAAAGCTCGGATTTACTTCTCTGCCTGAATCAACACTGGTTTCTCTTCTCAGGAAAGATAATTTGCAAATGAAAGAAGTTAAGATATGTCATCAAATGGGGAATTGCTCAAAATCCTACTCCTCCTAAAAACCTTGGAGTCTGGTCCAAGGAAAATATTATTGCATTAAAAACTACATGGCAAAAA